ATCAGCATGGCTTCCGATTTGGAACCATTCAATGAGAGATTGTTGACCCAGAACCACTGCTGCAAGGCGGCGGTGCACTCTGAGAGCCTCTATAATCCAGAGGCATCAGTGGAATCAACAGATGTAAACAGTAGAGTGTCATCTGCATAGGAATGGCATTTAACACCTGAGCTCTCAATGAGGCAGCCAACAGAACATACCAATAAAGACAACAAATCCACGTATAGCCTTAACAGACTGTTGGGGCGAGTACTGTTAGAAAGCACCTATGAAGACTGGCATGGCATACGAGGAGGTGGGTGGGCTACACCATGTCCAGCCGCCTTTGTCTCTGTAGTGGCGAAGTTTACACACCGCATCAGGTACTTATTTAAGGTTGAGTCGACCTAGGGGAGGCCCAAGACCAGTTCAAATAATCGTTACTGATGTTACCCCATACCTGTCAACCCCTTATCAGTGCCTACCTTATTAAAGACCAATTCAGACCTTATTGGTCACCCTGTGCCCTTATAAATCTCAACGTTCATCCTACAAAGGTCCATCACAAGGGAGAAACACCAAAAAATTTACAAATTTTAGTATTTTTACTCAATTTCCCTGTACAAGAATACAGGTAAACCGTATGGGTTGACAAGTATGTTACCCGTGAGTTGGAATCGAACTCAGATCATTGGGTTGATAGTGCAGCACGCTAACTGCTACACGATCGCTCCCCACCTGCATAGAAAAACATTAAAGATCCCCCCTATAGCCTTAACAGATCGCTGGGGAAAGTGCTGTTAGCGAGCACCTATGAAGGTCGGCACGGCACACGAGGGGAGGGGTGGCCAGCACCACGCCCGGACGCCTTTGTCTCCCTGGTGTTGATGTTTACACACCGCACCAGATATATATATACACACACTCACATATATAGACAGTAGAATCCCGATTATCCATCATGATTGGTGCAGGACATCCACAGATGAGTGAGAACCCAGTTAAAGAGAATCCAGTTATTTATGGTCCTATAAACCACTATAATGGGATGGAGTGGTGGTTTAGTGGTTAGCGCACTGCGCTCTGAACCCTGTGACCAGGGCTTGATTCTCAGCCACAGCTTATATCAGTGGCAAGCGATATCTGAACTGGTCCTGGGCCCCTGTTCACAACTCCCACTGACCAGCATAGTGAAGTATGGTCAAAACCCCCATGACTAACACAGCACAGAGGCCTTCATCCAGCAGTGAATGGACAAATGACTGTAAATTGCTATCATTAATCACTATATAGCACCAACAAATGTTTAAAATATAGATTTTCGATTATAAGTACATATGATGTTTTTCCCAGCTCCAATAACCAGTATCAGGCGTTGCTTGCTTTTTTATGGGCTTTAACATGACATTGTGAGAGGCGAAATGCCTGATTAACTAATAATGTGCATCATATATTTTTAAGTGTTCAGCATGACCAGGGGTCAGCAACCTGCGGCTCCAGAGCCGCATGCAGCTTTTTAATGACTGCTTCGTGACGTTCTTTATTGAGGACCACCATCTCGTATTCACATGCATTGAGGCTCTTGAAATACAGTATTGAGGGTTTTTTTCCCGAATTAAAAAAAATGGCTCTGCTTGTTATTTTGGTTGCCGACCCCTGAGCATGACAATTGAAACAATTTCTAAATATAATCAAGCTCCAGGCCATATTTTTAGGGGGAACCTGAGCTGAAGTATATTTGTGCCCAATTTTGCATTTTATTCCGCCTAGAATATATTAGATGACAGGAGAGCAGCTTTACTCCCTTGTTGAGGCTCTCGAAACTCCCATCTCAAGTAGCCGGTCACACTTTATTGAATAATTCCACATGTAAAAAAGTGTTTTTACCTGTCAAATGGATTGGGGCCAGAGTGGTTGCCTCTTTCCGTCAGAAGGGATTACGCTATGGCATGATATTTCCCGATGACCAAATTACCCAGAATGCACCTGATTTCGTAAGATCTTGGAAGCTAAGCAGGTTTGAGGCAGGATTGTACGTGGATGGGTTAATTTAATCTCCCGGTTAAATAAGGATACAAACACTTTGGACACAGGAGTACAGCTGTATTGTGCCGTAACAGGATTAAGAGGAAGTCTGGTGTCCCAGATGTTGACTCAGATGCTCCCCCTGCTACAAATTTAGCATGAGTAATCACGTATTATACTTCCGAAATACACAGGAGACAGTCAACCCCCAGTGACATCGCTGGAATGTGTTATGGCAATGCGCTTTGTCACATTTTGACATGTGGGAAAAAAATCATGAATTAAGCTTCGACCTCATGCGGGACTGTGTGAAATAAAGAGTCCAGGTAAATAACTACAAAACTAGAACTATTCGTTGTTTAGGACTGCATCTGCCTTTCAACATTTACAGTGAATGCATGATTTGACGATGACTACACTCACTGTAATAATTGTTTTATAGTCCGAGCCTTTTTTTAAGTTGTGCAACATCATGAATGCAAACAAATGCTGCATTTACAATAGGTACCAGAGTAACGATGTGTAAAACATTAACTGCCATTTCATAATAATAATACACATATCCTTCATGGAATTAAAAAATAAAGTTAAATTGCCCCACTGCTCAAACAATCACGGCGTTGGTGGCCATGAGTTTGTGGTAATTCTACATCACCATGGCGAGGGCTGGCCTCTCATTGTACGACTTTTGACATCCCACACATTAGTAAATAGTGGCAACCAAAATAAATAATCTAACAGTACAATTCATTACTATTAAGTAGATGTCGATAACAATTTTATAAACAGCTAAACTGTATATACTATAGGTATGATCATATATTGTATTATTATTACAATGGAGCAGCTTAAAATAATTAGATATATGGGTTGCTGCAGCTGTATGTAATCTGGCTGCTATTTTATACGCAATATTCACTCAAAACTAGATTTCATTTTTTTAAAATAAATTCCAGTAAATTAAATAAAAAAATTACTCATGACTAATAAATGTATATCTAAAGCTCTAATATGCATTGTACATGTGTATGGGAGGCAACTCTGTGGTCATACCGCCCAGAAAATAATCAGTATGAAAACTAAGGGTGTGATTCATGTTGGCAGGGGACTTATTAAGTCTGGCAGGGTACTCAGTTTGGCACAACCAAGCCAAAAACAATTCATATATTGGACACGTCCGCCAGCAGAGGCTGATTGAACATTTTTGTGTGATCTGACGGCCATAGGACCATGACATAGGGCATATTCTTCATACGTCAAATGCACATCTACCAATTTGAGGCTGGAGGATCTATTACATATTTTAAAGGGATTCTCCACAGAAAAAGGGGCATTTCCTGGGCAGAACGATGAAACCTAATCCACAATTCACATCCTGAAAAAAGCACCAGCCGTGCTGAAAAATCACTCATGTAGCTGATCCAGGGTGTAAATTCAGGTTTAAATAGGGGGGCATAACTTGCTATTCAGAAATAGTGATTGTGTGAGACTACTGTAATAGAGAAAAGCAAGCGGAGAGAATAGACTATAGAAGAACATTGCACACACAGGGAATCTAGCGAGAACAGAGAGGGATAGAGAGGGTAGACAGAGAATAGTTATCAAACAGAAGACATATAAACAATGAGAATTAATATTCTAGGTTCTTTCGGTAAAGGCACGTAGAAGGGAAACGATAAAATAATAAAAATATATAAACAATAAAATTCTCACGACGTTTCGACTGCAACACAAGCAATCATCATCAGGTGTGAAAACCACAAGAAGAAAATTTGAAAAAAGTGGCGGTTATTATTAACGTTAGCACCATGGAGAGAGATTTGACAGTTTGATCAGATGGACGAGTCCATCTATGTTCGGAAAACAGGAGGGGGGAGACGAAAAATAATGGATGCGGTCTGAAAACCACCTTAAGCGTGATCAATCAATTAAGACCCGAAATGGTTTATCAAATCCTTCCAATGATTGCTAAGCCAGAATCCATCTTCTCGGTTGAAATTGTCTCTGTGTTAGTATATGTGGATAGCCTCATGAACGAATCTCTCATGGCAGCCAGATGGCTTGCAAAGAACCTCTGTCTTGGAGAAGTCAATGTCATGTGAACCTACTGAATTATAACAGTGATCTGCCACAGCCGAGGTGTTGGTCCTTAAAGCAACATCAATACAAACATCACTGATCATATTTGTCCCTCATTCTCATTTTTCCCAGAAGCATTCGGAAACTTGGGTTATTATGTAAATGTCTTAGTCTCATTTGAAAATGCGGTGGTGGGATGTTAAAATTATGTATTGGGCACATACACTGCCCCACGGGCAAGCCATGCACAACCTATGATGAGCTCTTTGCGCTGGGATATGCTGATGTCGTGACACCAACACTATCCAGCCCACAGCCTGATTAGTTGGTGCCACTGGAGGATGTCTGGCAGATCTGCTAACTCATCTCAAAATATGAGATTGATTTGAATGGAGAAGCCTTGGTGGAAATCAGATGATTTATGCCAAACATTTTATAGATCCTCTACGACAGTGCAAAATGCCCTATATAATTTAAAAATGAAAATGTATTGTATACAAGCACAGCATAAAAGTTGCCAATTCTCTCAGAAAATTGTACACATTGGGGGATGCTACCATGGTGCAATGGTTAGCAGACTAGACATGCAACCCAGAGGTTACCGGTTCGATCCACCCACCTCTGTCCACCCAGAAGTATAAATGGTTACACCACGGTTAGTTGAGTGGCAGGTTGCATGTGGTAAAGTATAGTATGGGTATTCCCACCTCTTCAAAGATATCTGGCCAGCATAGGGGATGCATGTTATGTTTCCAGTGGCATGAGCAAGCAAATGCTGGGCTGCACCCTTACCGTTATCATTTTTTTACTGTTAGAATGATCATTTTTTATGAACAGTTACTTGTACATGGGGACATCGTGCTTAATGAAGTATAAGGACTGTGTTTGTGTATAGTGGCAAAGTGAATTCACCATACCCTGCAGATCTGTTGGTCACATAACCGCTGGCAGGCACAGGAACCTGCAAAAGTCCTGGCCTCTGCCCTCCCGCTTTGGCCTGCTGTCTCTCGAAACCACCACCGTCCTGAGGGGAACTGGCACTTGAGAAACTCTGCGCAACTTCAGCTGGCCACATGCCAGGGCTTGGGGCTGAGCCTGTAAATTTCAAGAGACATTATTTTAAAACATTATAGATAAGAATTGGTGCGGATGCCCTGGGGTTTAGATATGCAAAGGCAGGCTTCTTAATCTACATTCAAAGCATGTGTCAAATTCTAAACACATTTGGGGCCAAATACAGTTTTTTTTTTAAATTTTAAACAATTTAACTATGTGCGCTTATTCATTTACCTAAATACATTTTTGATGCTTCAAGACAGTATAGCCACTTTTAAGTAGTTGTTTATTAATTAATAACACACATTTAGGCCTTCAAGATATCGACTGAGTAAATATATTGCTCACTACAGCATTGTTAAATAAATGTCATTACATAGCAGGCAAGGATGCATGAGTTCATAGACTTAAAATGATTATTTCAACGAAGATACATTAATATAATCGTGCAGGTAAAATTTATATTGTTTATTATTTATAGAAATTTGAGGTAAACAAAAATACTGTTACATTTAGGATAATAGGGCAAATAAAACTGTACAAAACAGAACAAGATGGTAAAAACTAGACAAAAATAATCAATTCTTGAATCAAATTACAACCCTGAATCTTGACAATTCATTGAATCGCCAGAGATAAATCATTTCATGCATATTATACAGGACAATAAGTAAGAAGCATGGTAAAACTTGAACGATGAAAAGTATTTTGAAGTCAAAACATGTTGATAGGAATATTTTTTGAACATGCTGGCTTTTAATATGCCACCTGCTCTATGAAAAAAAAATATTTCACCAAATCATGTAGTACTCTAACAATTAAGCAACACTAAATAACAGCAACCATTTCAAACTGAGGCACATTTGGTTGCATTCCACCTGATCTGGTTTATGGACATTTCTATAAAAAAAATCTACACAATACTGTGCACTGCATAATTTAAATCTTTCCAAGGCAACAGGAGCCTGTGACCTTCTTTTGACTATATGCCCTGTTATTTAAAATTGGCAACCCTACATCAAGGTCTTTGGTGACAATAAATATAATTGCACATTTTCCTTCACTTCGGTGGCAACAAATGTAAGAATTACATTTCAGCAGAAGCACAGGCATGCAATTAATTGACGGCTGACATGCAATCTTTTTTTCTTGTGTAACATCACCAGGGATTCAATCAAGTAAATCTAATGTAATTGGTGAAGGCTCTATTTTGCCCAGTTTTACCTCACAAATATTCATCAGTAAAATTTGTAACGCACATAAATTATGCAGAGGGAGAGGTGGGAGTGAATCCCAGACTAGAGCTATGGCAGAGAAACAACCTCTTCTGGTTCGCGCTACAGGGCTTCACAAGCACACCCACTTGAGGCACATTAATCATGAGAGATGAATAGAGGTTAATAATGGCTTTACTTGGTTAAACTATACACGAGTCTCAAGAGCATTTCAATGGTCAGTTCATAGGTCCGCAACCAACAGTAGTAAAATGTTTGTTGTTTTTTTCCCAAGCTTTTTGATAGAAATACCGGAGGGTGTCTACAGCACCATCTGCTGTCAAAGTGAAAAAGTTCAATTTGCTAAATCTCGGCTGCATACTTTCCCATTAATTTAAGGTCTGAAATGGCAGTGAACATTACACTGAAAAAGAATGTGAAAATGTGTACAGTCTCTGTTCACACCTGGAAAATCCCCAAAAATGCATAACCCCTTACAAAACGTTGAACCTTACAAAAATTACTTAGATATACAAGTTTGCATTTGAATGTCTTGAAAAGTACTGAAACCAAATATGGAATACTTTTTGAAAAGTGAATTTGGACACCCAACATTGAAGATGTATTTTAATCGTTTGTGATTTTTAATATAGGTCTACAAGTTTGTATCTGTGGGAGTTAAATCCAAATATATAATCACATGTTGATAATTGAACTTTTTGGGTACTTTTTGGAATGGTGACATGAAAAGTAAATAGAAAGTAGGCAATGGCTAATATCATTTACACATGCACATGTATACACACATAGAAATATTAATATTTATGTGCTCATTCATGTTGCATTGTTTCCCAGAGCTCTGGAACAGAAGTGTCAGGCTCAGTGGACAAGGATAATAGTTACAAAGCTGAGCAGTGCCAAACCTCAAGTGGTACAACCACACCTCATAACGAGACATACCTGTTGAACCAGCCTGAGAGTGGTAGAATGAGCTACAAAATAATAGCAGGTATCATTATCTTTGCACAGTTATTCAAGCACTAAAATCGCGAAAAAATTTTACTTGCTCAATATATTCTTGGTTCTTTCGGTAAAGTCACGTAGAAGGGAAACAATAACATAATAAAAATATAAAAAATAAAATTCTCACGACGTTTCGACTGCAACACAAGCAATCATCATCAGGTGTGAAAACCACAGCAACGTAAAAAAAACGCCAATTTTTTTAAATTTTCTTGCTGTGGTTTTCACACATGCTGATGATTGCTTGTGTTGCAGTCGAAACGTCGTGAGAATTTTATTGCTTTATATTATTATTATTTTATTGTTTCCCTTCTACGTAACTTTACCGAAAGAACCAAAAATATGAATCCCTGCAGTCATGAAAGCTTTAAATCAAAATTGCTCAATATAATGAAAATGTCTTAAGTAGAGTATAGTTAAATCATGAAGAACACATTCAAATAACGATCTAAACTGACGATTCCAAAGTGATACATTACTTATGTAGTGACATAGAATTGGTCACTACGACACGTAGCGCTGGTTACTGGTAGAGAGGGGAATTGTGGACGGAACAGCCGTTCTGCCAGCAGAGCATGCAATGCCACGGAATGGGTCACTACGGTATGTAGTGCTGGTTGCTGGCAGAAAGGGGCATATGAGGACGTAGCAGCCCGGCCGGCTAACAGGGCACGTGATAGGCCAGGGTAAAGGGTGTGGGCCAAAGGTGACCGAGAGGACACGTGGGGTATAGCTCAGAACCTTCTGGTAGGTTCCAGAAGGGGGCGTGGCCGAGGGTGGAGCTAGGCCACGCCGGGGGGCATAAAAGGGAAGTCCCGAGGCTGGATCAGGGCTGTCTGTCGTTGGAATGGAACCCGTTGTACGACGTCTTCGTCTCCGGCATCGTGGGTCAGGCAGCGTGCCGGCTGCCCTGACCCGGTTGTAGTTATCCCGTATGTGAACAAGTGTCGAAAGTGTAGAATAAACGTGTGTTGCCTCCTACGACTAGTGTGTCTCTAAGTAACCCACGACACTTATTACACCTACCTTTGGAATTCATGCTACAAATGCCTCAGACCCATTCTATATATGTGGGTCTCACCAGGTTATAACACCAGTAATTAATATTAGAGCCGAGAAGATTAGTCGATAACTAGTTGACTTTTTGTGGCCGATTACTCAGTTTCCTTTAAAAAAGTGTCCGTCGCCCCTTCAGGCTCAATGTGAAGTAAGCCATGATATGGATAACGTCACCAGGCCCTGCTCATCATCTCCCCTTCCAGCGTCACACCTGCTATTTTTTTTCCGGGTCCTCTTGGTTTTTCCCTTCACATTTAGAAACATGCATTTCTTATTATTTAGCTGATATATAATTTTCCACGTAATAAGCCACTTCGTTGAGTTATCATTTGTGGCCAGGTTGCATCGAAAAAATAAGCTAATTGCTCAGTGGGCTTTGCCTGGTAAGGCCGAAATAGTTTAGTTTCATTTGTATATTTTAAAGTTATTTGTTTGCCTTTCCTATACTTTGCACTCCTATCATGTTTTTGTATTGATTGTTATTTTAACGTTCTGGCCTGCCCCTACTGGACAAGTGAAAGAGCTTTATGGCTCATCGGATTCCTCTATTATAAATATTCTGATACGTTTTTCCAAACTATTTTCATGATATCCCATTATCTGAGTAATTGTAATGATAATCAAGAGTAAGCGGTTTAATTAACCATCTACTAACCCAACTATGAATTGACTTCTCTACGCACAATACTGCAGCTGCCAAAAGTACATTTCAGCAGTACATGAACTCACCAGCAGGCCCCCACTGGGAAGAATAACTGGAGGGGCTGGCCAAGGTCTCCATTACCTCACCATCAGAGGGCTCAGAGGTGATGGGTTGTCGGACACGCTTCCTCTTGTTAAACAACGGTATCAATGGGAGCCCTGCATATCGTAAAAATATATACAAAGTACCGTTACAATAAAGGTAAATATGCAGCCCTGCAATTTCTGGCTCACGCCACTCCTGGTAGAAGGGTCCTCCATTAGAGGGAGCTCGTGTCCCTCGAGAGAAATGGTTCACGGAACTGTTGCAGATACCTCAACTTTTACTGCCCACAAAACACTATATTACGACTGCCTGTTGCACAACGTTTTAGATGTTATGTGAACCAATAAAAACCAAGTTAATCGTTTTCTCGGCTAATTAACATTTGACACTTTTAGAGTAGTTTTATTTTCATTGGTGCATGATGGTCCGCAAAAATGTTGGTGGTTGAAAGTCACCTGCGGGACCAAAAAGGCTAGGAACTACTGATCTAGAGGGTAAATTTGACCTACTCTTCCATGCTGGCCAAACATCTCGTAAGAGGTGGGAGTACCTCATTTTACCCCACCACCTGACCTTCCGATTGGGGTGCATCCATTATACTGTTGTGTGGATACAGTGGGATTTAATAAACGTGAGACCACTTCATTGCAAGTCCAATGTGCTTACCATTACACCACAACACGAACATACCATTACACATTTCAACATATGGTGAATTAAATGTCCAAATGGGTTTGTGCATGTCACGTGTTGTATCATTTTACAGTGCTCTCGTACCTGAACCTGCTCCACGGCTCTCTGAAAAATCTGGGTTCATTTTATATCTGGTTCTCCCTTACTCTGTTTACAAAACAAGGGGAGAAATTACTTTTTTTATTACATGGTACATCATTATTTTACAGTCGTCTTTTACAGTGCGATGTGGATTTATATTGTACAGCATAGAAATATATCTCAAGATGCTGTGTAAATGCAGATTATTTTTCTTTTGGAGG